GCGCCGCGCGCGCGCCCGACAAAACGTTCCGCGAGCCAATCGGAGAGGAAGAATGGCTTCTTCGCCCCGCCCTCCCTCACGCAGCGACGTACCGGGTTCCCTCCCCCTCCCCTTCCTTCAACCAATCAGGGGACAGCTCCAAGGGAGCGCGCGAGGTTTCCTTCCCCGCGCACCCGTTCTCACCGTTAAACGGCCGCGTCCCGCGACAATCCTAGTGACCTTTCCCTCTCCGGAGTTCCACGCGCACTAGGGGCAGGGGGAGGGGCCGGTTTCGCGAAGAGGTTGGTGGGAAAAAAAGCACCTCTTACCCCGCCTCGCGCGCTCCCTGGAGTGGCTGCGCGCGCACCTGCCTCCCTAAGGATCCGCTAATGCCACAAGGGCTCTTTCTATCCTTCCTCAAAGGCACGGAAGTAGCCCCGGCGTTCTTCTACCTCCACCCAGACCCCACTTCCCTGTATGTGGCCTTTCTGTCCCCAGCGTTGCGAGGTCTTGAGGGAGAAGGGGGGAATTTTTTTGAGCTGTCGCTTCTCCTTTAAGAAAAAAAGCCCCGTCGCTGCCGGATGAAAGTCTCTGAAAAAATGGCGGCGGTAGAACAGAGGCGGGGTCGTGAGGGCATGGAGGATCCGCCTCTTCGACGCATGCGCATAGTTACTTTGCTCAAAAGCATTCTGGGAGTTGAAGTCCTACTTAGCCTGTGGTTTCGTGGGGGAGGGGGCATAGAAGGTAGGAAACCAGAGGCGAAATGGTTGCTGGGAGTTTTTGACCGATGCAGGATGGGGAAAGTAGTTTTTAGTATTTCCACAGTCCAAGTGTACTTTTCCTGGGGGGCAGTATTTCCGGGTTAAGGCGCGACACCTAAGCAGATCCCGGCGCAAATTTTGAGCCTGTTACCTGTCAGGATTTCCTGGGAAGGTTTTCCCGGCTTGTTTTCTTGGCGTTGGCGAAGCATTTCTAGGGTAGTCACGTCATAGCTCTTACCTTGGTCTTGGTTAGATGGCTTCTCCGGCTGGCGCTCATGCCTGCAGTATTCGTCTCGTCATCCTGTGTCTGACCCACCATCCTAGGAGCCCCCGGAGGTCAGGGGCTGAATCTGGTTTTGTCGGATCCTCGGGGCCTACCCGTCAATTATTTGGTTACTAATAAAAGTTTGGGGAGATCACTGTGGAGTTGCGTTTCTACTGGATTCTGCGCCCCCTGCTTCACTTGGCGGCGGTCACTGGGCTGGAGGGAAGTTGTTAGCGTGTCGCGTCGCCAACCGGAGAAACCGGAGGGCCTCCCTCAGGCTCCCTGCTCTGAAGCCAACGGCTTCTGCGGCTTGTAAATGTTTCTGCTGCGCAGGAAGCACAGTCAGATGAGCCCCTTTGTCGGAATTTCTTTTCCGCCCAATAACGTGTGCAACTAAATTGTCCTAATCCGATAAACGGGGGTTTCCGTTTGCTTATCTACAAGGTGATGGTCGTGGGCCTCTCACATTCCTTTCTTCTTTCGTCCATTATAACCAAGGAGCGATTTGCAGGACCACGTTCTTACCCCTGGAAAATAAGCATCCGGGGGTAAAATGCCTAAAGAAAGCGGATGGAAACAAGATCTGGGGAATCCAATTTAAATTTCACATTAATCATTCAGTTAAGGCTGCGGATACAGTACAATATATGCAAGCCAAGTGCTGACGTGCAATTTTCCTTCCAGTGCTTTGGCTCAGTTATCACTTCAGATTAGGGCGGCAAATGTTTTCTATTTTCTAATGAGTGTGTTTGCACTTTCATGGGGCTAATGGCGTTTCAGTTGTAAAAACTGGCATAGGTGGATGGGAATTTTTGCAAATCCATTTTTAAGGTATGCAGGCTTTTGGAACAGCACTGACATCCAATGGCTGCTCAAAGTAATGCAGAGTGGGAATCTTCGTTTAAAAAAAAAGTCTTCAGCGTCACTAGGGAATGGAGAATGAATGATTCCTTTTCAGTGGTTCTCAACCTTCTGGCTCTTTAAATACAGTTCCTCATGTTGTGACCCAACCATAAAATTATTTTCGTTGCTACTGTTATGAATCATAATGTAAATATCTGATATGCAGGATGGTCTTAGGCGACCCCTGTGAAAGGGTCGTTCGACCGCCAAAGGGGTCGCGACCCACAGGTTGAGAACCGCTGGCCCTAGAGGGATATTAGGCGCCTTGATACCTGGCATCTCACAATTTGTCTCACTGCGCTGCAGGGTCCATCCGCGAGGAGAACGGGGTCCGGTGGCATGTGTGTCCCTACTGCACCAAGGAGTTCCGGAAGCCCAGTGACCTCGTGCGCCACATCCGCATTCACACGCACGAGAAGCCTTTCAAGTGCCCGCAGTGCTTCCGGGCCTTTGCGGTGAAGAGCACCCTGACTGCGCACATCAAGACGCACACGGGCATCAAGGCCTTCAAGTGCCAGTACTGCCTGAAGAGCTTCTCCACATCCGGGAGCCTCAAAGTGCACATCCGCCTGCACACAGGTGCGGGGGCGGGGCCGCCGTGCGCAGACCGGCGGTGCCCAGCAGTCTGCGCAGCGCCACCGAGCGCCTTCAGGACTTCTTTTCCTTCCTTAATCCTGTTTGTGGATGGCGTCTGTAGGCTAGGCATGAGGTCCGTACTGGCGGAGAAAACCCACGTGACTGTGGTCCTGTGGCTGCCGGCAGCAAGAGGGGGGTCAGACGCAGGGCTCAGGAAGGGGCACATTAGAGCAGAGAGTGAGAGAGACCACCCGTGGGCAGCCGCGCTCAGGTTTAGACAGTGGGCCTTGGAAGGAAGAGCAGCGTCCCCCTTTGGGAAGACCTGACCGCTGCAGCCGGCACCCTTCAGGCAGGGAGCTTTGTGCTGGCCTCAGGCAGGGCGGGCACCCACATCTCCTCTAATGTTCAGATATTTTGTAACCAGTAATAAGTCAGAAACACTTATATTCAGGCTCCAGTTTTACTTATAACAGCTTTATTGAGATATAATGCACAGATCATAAAACTCACTGTGTTAAGGTGTACAGTTCAGAATTTTCACACATTTTTATCACCCCCAAAAGGAACCCTGGACGGTTAGCAGTAACTTGCCTAACCTGCCTGGGGTTCCTGGGCTAAACTGACCACGTGAATAAGTGTTTGAAAAAGCTGAAATTAGTCAATTTTGTTATATGCCCTTCTCTGGAATCTGCATTTTCATTTACCAGTAAAATTGCAAAAGAAGGAAATTTCCTTCAGAAAAGGAAAGTGATAGTACAATATATTATTACTATCAATAGCAGCAGCGGTGTTATTATTTACAATCAATAACAGCTTGTTTCCTAAATGCTGGGTGCTCCCTAAACACTAGTTCACACAACCCCAGCAAAGCCCAGATGCAGGCATGTGACTCCAGGCCACAGATTACGGCTTGAGAGAGAACAGTTCACACACTTTAATATTCGTAAAGACTTATAGTACTTTGATTATCCATATTTTACTTTGTCCTGAAAATAGTATATTTTTTAACTTAAATGCTTTTATTACATGCCTTAACATCTATAATACGAATTGTTTGCAAACTAGGGAAAAGAAGTGATCTATAATAGGAAACTATAAGCATGAAATGACAAATTGAATGTTCAAATCAGTAGTAAGATTAAAATTTTATATTGGCATTAATTAAGATGTATTTCCTTGAGATAATTGTATGGTTACTTTTGTTTTTATTAGGAGTCAGACCTTTTGCTTGTCCTCACTGTGACAAAAAATTCCGAACCTCAGGCCATAGGAAGACACACATAGCCTCCCACTTTAAACACTCGGAGTTGAGAAAGATGAGGCACCAGCGGAAACCCGCCAAGGTTCGTGTTGGCAAGGCTAGCGCTCCAGTCCCTGACATTCCTTTGCAAGAACCAATCCTCATAACCGACGTAGGTAAGGTTCTCTTCCCTCTGGGACCTCTGAAGGCGTATGTCATGCTATGTATGGTCACAGCCTTATGTAGTTTCAGGCTGGTATTAGTGCAGTTCTTGTAAAGCTTTGCTGTGTTATGGGCTGGTATATTACACACTTACAGTTTAGATCCTAGTTCTGTTTAAACTGCTGCTCAAATTATGTTCTTGGTTAGAAGAGAAATATGTGTAAGTGAAAGTATTAGTATGTTTCACTGAAGAAAAATTTCTTCCTGAATGGAACTCTCAAAGCCCTAGCTGGTTTGGCTCAGTGGATAGAGTGTAGGCCTGTGGACTGAAGGGTCCCAGGTTTGATTCCGGTCAAGGGCACAAGCCCAGTTTGCAGGCTCGATTCCCAGTAGCACAGGTTGAGAATCGCTGCTTTAGATCATCTGAAAAAAAAAAGACCATTGTGTTATAGAGGAAAGTTCACAGGCTTTGAAGTTAAATATAGACTCTATTAGGTAGAAAAGCTACCTATTAACTCTATTACTTGAGCAAGTTACTATTCCTTGAATATCTCTCCACTGGTAAAAATGGGGTAATACCTATTTCACCAGGCCATAATTATAGTTCTTCCCATAGTAGGCCTTTGTAAATGTTTTATTTTGTTGAAGGTGAATAAAATCAGTGGTTTAAAAAAAAGGTAAAAGTTAATCTCAGCGTCACTGTTCAGAAAACTGCTGTAAAGCAATGTGAGTAGGCAGGAATTACTTATATGCTTAATTGAGATGTCTGCAACTTAGCACCTGTGTCTTAAATCTCCCAGTCTCATTCTTCTTGACTCCTTTGGTTGTTTGCATTTGGACCCCTGAAATAAACCAAGCCCTGAGAATCCAAAAGTGAATACACCTCTGCTGCATTTAATGGATTTTACAATCTATTCGGGAAATTAGGTAAACAAAATTTCTGGATAATTAAATAAAGATAGCAAAATGAATCGGGTGCTAGCTATGAAGCAAATAATGCCTCCATGGCCCACCAGCTTCACGGTGGGGGGGAGGGGGGGGAGTTTCCTGATGCATAGTTGCAGTGCGATACTTACATTGGGCAAAAACACAAGCGCAAATCTGCCATTCCCATGAATTCCAGATGAATTCTGGCATGTAGTAGGTGCTCAAATTTTTCAAAATTACTTTTGAATCTTAATTGCCCTGGCCAGTGTACCATCAGAATTCAAATTTTACTACCTGCCTTTTTTTCTATGTCAGTCCCATTTTAAAAACTCTGACCTATAAAAAAAGAAAAGAAAAAAAAGAAAGAAACTCACCAAATCAAAAGAGAGGAAGTGCTAAGCAAATACAGGAACCAAAAAAGGTTATAGAGGCTGCTTCACACTGTCTCA